GGCGGAAGCTTCCTTATTTCCATTCGATTTAGTCACCTATTTTTTTAACGGCTCACATGCCCAACCTCTCAACCCCAGTTCCTGTGTGACCTCTTAAACATCAGGGGTGCCATGGATGGTCAAGGGGCACCTCGCCCCTCCACGCCAATGACTGCAACCCTGAACCTTGAGCCCAAATGCCAAGCCCTGAACTAAGCTGTCAACCCGAGATTTGGGGGATTCCCAAAATCAGAGGGACCTGTGTGGGGGTCCGGCAGAATAATAACTATGATATTTGGGGGCTACTAGTTATTGGGGCCCCCTTGTTCATGGGGCCCCCTTGTTCATGGAAACTACCAATTGTCCCCGAAGAAGGAAACCGCCGCCACGGCAACTGCAGCCAACTGCCAAAAAGCGGGCTCGGATACTTGGGATGTCTTCGGAAGTTTTGTTTTTTGTTTCGTTGTTTCTGCGTTGAATTTTTGGGGTCCCTTATGCCTGAACCCTGACATAAGGTAGCTCACCGCAATCATTCTGAGCTAGGGACTGCTTTGGGATGAGGCGTATCTTTAACTTTGACCCCCGCCCTGTCAGGAGGGATAATGGTGAGCACCTTCGGATGCTCTTGTGGTTATCATATGTTCTCACTATTGCAGGGTGGGGGGTCCACCGAAAGTACCATCCGTAGCCAATCCTTGTCGGTCGGCTTTGTGCTTTGGCCTACAAGGCTTCTAGAGATATGTGCTGTCACGAGAACATGTCGCGATGAAAGAAGGGCTCAGAGCAGACTCAGTAATTTGCGCACCCAGATCATCAGCTGCGGGTTGGGTGTTTAAGGCTTTGCTTCGGATACGAGTGTGTGGGAAACTGTTATAGTATTTAGGGTATGTAGGCTTATGCTTAGGGTCAGCTTTAGGGATTTGGGGACTATGTTCTACAGGTAGAAAAGTTTAGTTCTGGACGTTCTTGAGGCAGTACAGACTTCGTTGGGATTGTTGGGTTTTCCTGCAAAATCATGGGATCGGTTCGATGAGGCGTCTTAAGGTCCCCACGTTTTGAGGGATTGGCATGCTAAGCCTTTTGGAGCTTGGCAATTTTCCCCAGCAAGGCCCAAGGCAGCAATCCCAAGGCAGACTCCCAACTTTTAGGGTTTAGGGGTCTAGGGTTTAAGGGTTTAAGGTTGAGGGCTTTGGATTTAGCATTCCAGTAGGTTGTGAGGTTGGAATGCTTCCCGCTTGGAGTACTACGCAAGGACAGTTCAGGATGCGTATTGTGAGTTGCATACCTATGTGGGAGGGCTGCAGAAATCTCGTACAGCCCACAAGTGACCAGTACCCAAAGCCAGTGAAAGGATTGAGGCTGAGCAGCAGCATGTCGATGAGATCGGAGATGTGGATGAGTGTGACCGGATCGTCGTTGATGTGTTATGTTTTCTTGTTGCGGGTTCTTTTCTTGCAGCTTGTTTGTTAAAATCTCGTACGAAGTAGACTCAGGGTTCTGAAGAAAGTGTCATGACGTAGAATAGTTTCTGAATCTGTTGGCGGAAAGAGCTTTTAAGTGTGGCAGGACTTTTTGAATTTTATTCTTTGGGCCCGTCCCTCAAGGCTAGTTTTCAACATCCTTACCTACTGGTGATGCCAAAAATCCTGCAGGACCTCAGCAAAGGGCCATGCACGATTTCTAGTATC